GGAGAGAGAGAGAGAGAGAGAGAGAGAGAGAGAGAGAGAGAGAGAGAGAGAGAGAGAGAGAGAGAGAGAGAGAGAGAGAGAAGGATGTGTTGGAATGATGCTTTTCTTCGATTCTTCTGATGAATTTTGATGTCTGGCGCAAGTCGGCCTTGTTTTTGGATTGACCACTCTCAGACTTTTCTTATGAATTGATGTGTGATGCTCTTCCCCGGCCCTCCCTCCCTCTGTTTGAATTGTCAACTTGATTGATTGATTATCTGCACTCGGTCCATGTATGTTCTCTAGCCAGCGAGCAGCTGAAAGTTTGATGCATGAGTGTTTGTCGATTCTCCGTCCGGTTGTAATAGGGATGAGCATAAATGTTGATTAGATGTTCAAGTTTGTTTCACGGTAAGTCCATCAATGACATGTTCAATCCGACAAGCCGATGCACCTCTGCCAAAAGTTGTGAAGAGTCTCAGCTAGATCGAAAGAAGATCGTGTGCGCACGTGTACGCTTGGCGATTGAAGGCCACTGCGTACACGTGCGCCTACGTGACCTGCCCTCGATCCGGTTGACAAACGAACACTTTGATTGTATGGATTCCTACCCCGACCCCACAGTATGAATGTCGAAATTCCCTTATGGATCACCGACCGTGAGTGCCAAAGGGATCACGAGTTCCGGGAATACTGGGAACGCACTTGCCTTTCTGCACGATCGAGGACTGAGTTCCTAGAATTTCCGTATCACACAGGAACCGAACACCTTTGCGAGTGGGATATTAGACAGGCCCTAAAACGTACTCCCCATTACCCCGACTGTCCCAGCCCGTACACGTGTCAAATCATCATTGAACCTGACATAGCTATCCTTAAAACATAGTTCCCTCACTATCATCGTATATTGCCTTTCCACTGCCTGACCATTGCCCCTTGGCGAGTAGTCACTCCCCACTGGCGGCAACCCCAGTGCTCCGAGTGTCTGCAAGACCACGCCTGCCGAGCATCGGGATTCGTCCGGCGAACCCGCTCGGAAGCTGAACGACGGGAGCACAACCTTCGGCTGAGGCCGGCCACGTCCGATTCCGAAACCTGCGAAACCCACCGACGATGGATGCTGCTCCAGCAGGACAGCCATAGCGTCCCAATGGTACACCGGATTCGCCGCAGACGACGGGACCAACGAAGGTGATCGCCCCGTCTCCCGAGGCCTGAAACGGAACCTCGTCCCTTGCCTGCGGCCTACCCACTTGCATTCATATTCCTGAAACTTGGCACAGGAGATCCCAGTTCCGACCTGGGACTCCACCCCCCCACTTTCCTAAAATCCTTGGCACACCCCTTTTCTCGCACTTCCAGGCCCACTCTCACTCCAATCAGCAAGTCGCGCTGGGCGTGAGGTGGGCGTCACATGGACTTCACCCCCGCTCTAACACGTGGTGATGGAGGTGGAGAAGAAGATACGAAAACAAGAAATGATGATATGGGGAGGAAAAGGAGAGAACTACATCAGACCACATATCAAAAACAAAAACATAGCGGCCCACAGCAGGAGCAAGCAGCACAGCAGCAGCAGCAGCAGCAACAGCGGCAGCAGCAGCAGCAGCAGCAACAGCAGCAGCAGCAGCAGCAGCGGCCAGCAGCGGCAGCGACCAGCAGCGGCAGCAACAGAAACAACCACAGCAACAACAATTATACTGGCGAGGATGGGGAATGGCGACAGCCATTGGCAATGATAACCACACCAGCAGCAGCAGCAGCAACAACAACAAAAACAACAACAACAACACCATCAACACCAACAAGAGCAACAATAAAAACCTTTTATTACTTAGCACAGGGAACTCCTTCCTCCCACACTGCCATTTCCCAATTTGTGCTTGTCGTCCTCCATGATTCCACGGGGTCTGTCGCACTCTTCTTCTCTGTACAGGGCCCATCACACTTATCCTTGCTTGTGCAAGGCCCATCCCTAAGCACACTCCTCAGAGTCCTGGTGAATTACATTACTATGTCAGGTGACAAATATCTCTCCACTGATGGTTTAGGGGCTCGTTAGACACTCCTCGGGCGCTCAAAATTCCCGAGGAAATGATCGTTCCATCTGTCCTCGAAGAGAGTTCCTTGGAAACCGATGTGAAAACATTTCCTCGGGGTGTCCTCGGGGCGTCCTCGGGCCACAGCCATTTGGCTGCGCTCCCCAAGGTACCTCGCGAGATCCCTCGGAGTGGGGGTTTCCGCGAAAATCGGGACGGCGGCGGCAGCCTTCGACGACGACACAGTTTTGTAGTGTGGTACAACGGTGGTCCAGCCGAGGTGCGGGCGAACATTACCGCCGGGCAACGTTCGACTTCGGTGGGGACAGCAGCAACGGTAACGAAGAGTGGCGGACGGGGTCCGTGGAGGGCCCGAGGTGACCCGACCCCTCGCGCGTGCCGGCGGGAAACGGACAGGCCTCCAACGGGCAGCCGTTTCGAAATTCGTCGGGCTGTACGTCCGTCGCCGAGAGCAGAGGTCCGCAATGTAAACCAGCGGAGGGCGTCATCAGCCATCACTTGGCGTCTGCTGTTTGTCGCCCTCAGGTTGGCCGTTACGCTGCGGTTGTCTTACATGGCCGGCGTGTTCCGCAAGCTGCCGCTGCTCCTCCTCGTCGTGATTCTGCTTGTCGTTGTCGTCTTTGTTCAGGTGTGCATATTGGGGAGGTTGCCTTCACGTACTCGCAGGAAAGGAGGGGCGAGGAAGAGCGTGGCCATGGACGGGAGGCGGCCGAATCTGAGGACGTTGTCCGCCCCTTATCCCGGCGACCGGACTCCGATCTGTGCCGGTGTAGACAGAAGGGCGGCAGGTCCGTCACCGTACGAAGGAGTGCCGCCTTACTTGCAACCGCTGCCCGATTCGGACGAGGGGGAGGCGGAGGTGGACGTATCCGAAGACAGTTCCGTTGGGTAGCGGGTCTACCCAGGAGTGGACGGGTAGCCAGTTGTATGATCGCCGCGGGGCGAAGTACGGGCAGTCGTTCACTTCCCTCCTTCACGACGGCGCGGAGGAGGAGGAATGCCTCCCCCCTGTCGATCTCACATTTKGYCTCYGGAGCGGGAGCCCGYCTTCTSTCACGCGCACTGTGCTCGTGAACCCTCATCCCGACGACGACGCGGGGCAGGTCACATTCGGCGGCAGGGGCACGAGGGGCGGAGCGGCGGCAGAGGTGACGTCGGGGAAGACRACGGCATGGCCTCGAACGCRGGCGACTTCTGGCCCRTCAGTTCYACGCACTGTCGGGCAAYRTCCTGAGTGGATGACCCTCAGTCCTCCGTTGTCCGGGGGGCGCGACGGCGTTCATCGTCCCGTAGATCGGGTTGTGACTCACGAAGACTTCCCTTCCGAGGGCGCGCATGGAGATGGCAGGCGGGTGTGGAAGGAGGCGAGGCAGGAGTTGCGGCGGCAGCAAGAAGAGTCCATAACGCAAGGTGTGGAGCGTTTACGCGTGGGCGAGCGAAGTGGGCAAGCAGACGTGGCCGCCAGGGGGGGTGACGCGTGGACAAACGTTGGCGAATTTCAGTGCGACGTAGACGACGACGACAGCGGCGACGTGTTCCCGTTGCGTGCGCCGAACATGGGTGGGAGGGGCGACAGGGGCAGCACTTCGACTAGAGCGGTGCGCAGGCGGACGAGGACGTTCGCGGTCTCTGCAGATGCGGAAGGCGAGGGGGATGGGGAAGGAGGGCAAAATTTCTGGTCCGTGGAACACATGGTGGCCCTAATCAGGGCGAAGCGGGATCAGGACGCCCAGCTGCAAGCGTCAGGACACAACTTCGCTCGGATGCGGACGAGGGAGTGGAAATGGTTGGACGTCCGGGAGAGGTTGCTGAAGGTCGGTGTCGACAGGCCGGCAGACAAATGCGGGAAAAAATGGGACAATCTCATGCAGCAGTTCAAGAAGGTCCACGCTTTCATGGGCATGCGGGGAAAGGAGGACTTCTTCCAGTTGACGAGTCAGCAGAGGGCAGAGAAAGGATTCAACTTCAACATGGATCGAGCTGTGTTCGAGGAGATCAAAGGGGCGAGGGAGAGGAGCCACACTATCAGCCCAACCAATGTTGCAGACACTGGCAGGGCAGCGGGTGTGCAACTCCCATCTGCCCAGTCGGCAACTCCGGAATTTGTGGGGGATGGGGAAGCCGCCGGTGATGGAAACGACGAAGACGACAACTCAGCACGGGGTGGCTCACAGGCGAGTGGTGGTCCGGCCGGGTTCAGGAAGAGGAAGAATGTGCTGCAGCAGACATTCGAGGCGTTGTTGGAGTGCATAGACAAGCACGGGGCGTTGATGGCGTTGACGATGGAGAGCGCCAGCAGAAGGAAGTGCGAGACGATGGAGAGTGCGAGCAAGAGGCAATGCTCCATCCAGATTCGGCAGTGCGAAGCTATCGAAGCGGAGGTGGAGATCCAGAAACAACACTGTGCTGCCTCCACTGAAGTTAGCAAGCTTATGTGCCAGGCGCTGCTGGAAATAGCGAAGGCTATACGAGAACGGTAGACACGTGTGAATGTCGGAGGTCATTGGTCGGCTATGGCCGTCACATTATTGTGAATCCGCTGTCATCGACCGCAGTCGGATGGATGTGGACGTTGCTCGTGCCTCATTTTTTTTTATATGGATATGAGAGAGAGAGAGAGAGAGAGAGAGAGAGAGAGAGAGAG